AGAAAAGCCTTTACCAAAGCTTTGGTCCACCCAAGATTTCATCCCTGGAAAAAAAAAAATCAGGAAGGTGTAGATGGAGAGAAATGTCCCTCACCTTCCCTCTGACGTCTTGTTTCTCCTTCTCTCCTGCTTCCCTCCCCGTCAGCAGACATGACCCTGGATCCAGACACGGCCAACCCCCATCTAGTCCTCTCTGAGGACCGGAGGAGCATGAGGTGGGATGAAACGCCCCAGAATTATCCCAAACACCCCCCAGAGATTTGACACCTACTACTGCATGTTGGGTTGTGAAGGTTTCATGGCGGGGAGGCAATAGTGGGAGGTGCAACTGGGGAGCCAGTGATTTTGGGCTGTGGGGGTGGCAAGAGACTCTGCGTGGAGAAAGGGTTGGATTAGCCTCCACCCATCCCAAGGGATTTGGGCCCTTGGCATCTGCGGGAACAGGCTTCAAGCTTTCACCTCCTTCCAAACAGTTCAGCCTCTGAAGGGGAGGCCGAGGACCATCCGGGTCTCCCTGGGTGACGAAAAGGGACTCGTGGTTTTCTTCCATGCCCATAACGAGACACCTTGGCTTTAGCTTTTCCTCTGATTTTTTCAACGGAGAGAAAATCCTGTTATTCTTCTGGATTGGGGAGTCCAGGATCCAGCCGCCTCCCTCAGAGAGTGAGATGGACATGGCACACTCTGGACAAGCCTTTGGTCTGATGCAGGAAACCACACTGTATATCGGGACTTGAATAAAGGGGATCAAACGAGTCCCTGTCTCCACCTCCAATCTCATTCTCATGGCGTTTCCAAGAGCAGGAGATTGAGAAAGGGTCACCTTGGGCGGATTTTTTAACATTTGGGTGCCCTCCACGATTTCTCTGGGGAATCTTACCCTGGGAGGAGCAGGAGAACAAAGCCCAGGATTTGGGCAACAGCCCCTGGGGACACCACTTTCAAAGCTTTCACCCCTCCTGCCCTTCTCCCACCCTTTCCAACTTCTCCTGACCTTGACACTCCATTCTCTTGACTCTGGACGGTCAACACTGACGCTCCTGTGGGGCTGGAGAGGCTGGCTCTGGTTCCTGCTTTGGATACAAGAAAGGAGAAGATTATTCTGCTGACTCCGGCTTAATATCTGCCATTTTCCCACCAGGATCTCTTGTGAGTCAAAAACCTTCATGGGATCGGCAAGAACATATGTAATTGTCAAGGCTTTGGTGTTGAACCCTGTTCATTTCAGCTGCCTTTGGCTGAGTTGTGGGGTGGGAGAAATCAGGGGTGGGAGGAAGGAAAGATGAAGAGAACGAGCTGCAATTCTGCCTTTCTGCAATTTATAGATATTCCTTTGGGTCAGGAAGCCTAATAAGCAGCTTTATATCAGGCGAGGGTGCTGGAAAGAAGGGGCAAGAACCATTCTTGAAAGTCAAAGGTCTTGAAAAAGCCAGGAAAGGAAGGAAAAGCTCCAGTCCGGACCTCTCAGCTCTGTCACTGCAGCTCAGAGAAACCTGCTGGGACCTTGGAGGGTCTTGGAGGCACCAGCAATCCCCAGGGACGCGGGAGGATCCCTGCTCCAGAGCAGTCTCAGCAGGGTGTTGGTCTGATGGCCCATCTTACCCTAAAGCTGATGTCGCAAGGGTCAGGAGAAGCAGAAACAGCTTCTGACAACCAGGAAGGGCCTGCTCTTCAACGAATTCCACATCTGAACCCTTCAGGTGACCCAAGAGATGCTGGAGTCCTCCCAAACAGCCCTATAGAGCCCCTACTGAAGGGGTATGAGGTCCTTCCCAAGCCCTGGCCCCGTCCTCTCACCCCTGACATTTCAGAGGCAGTTTTAACCACCGCTTGTCTCCCACCCCCAGCTGCACCACAACCTCTCTGAGGTGCCACCAGGGCCTGAAACTCCTCTTCCAGCTGCTCTTGAATCGCCGAATCCCACCGGAATCCACGGATTGTAAGTGGCTTTGGAAAGTAAAAAATCCCACAGTCTCCAAAAAAGGGTTAAAATGGGATGGGCGTCTCCAATTCCCTTCCTCCTCAGCTGTCCAACTGCTACTTCCCGGAGCAATCTAAGTTAATGTATGGCCTGAAGCCCTGCTGGGAAGGGGCTGGGTCTCAGAGCAACCAATGGTGTAGAAGCAGGAAGAGTAATCTCTACCCTTTCTGATCACTTGAGCGAGAAAGGAGCTCCGACGGTCGCTCCTCATGGCAGCCAGGACGCCTGTGGAAATCCTGCGGGATGAATTCTGCTGCTCCATCTGCCTGGGGATATTCCAGGACCCCGTGTTCATCCACTGTGGGCACAGCTTTGTCGGTCGTGTATCAGTCAGACCTGGGAAGGACTGACTACCAACTTCTCCTGCCCCCAGTGCAGGGAGATGGGGGACCAGAGATTCCTCCGCCCCAACAGGGAGTTGGCCAACGTGATTGAAGCAGCCGAGAGATTGAACCTGCCACCAGTCAGAGAGGTGGAAGGAGGGGAGAACTTGTGTGAGAAACACCAGGAACCCCTGAAGCTCTTCTGCCAAGATGACAAAAGGCTCATCTGCGTGGTGTGTGACAGGTCCAAGATGCACCGTGACCATTCTGTGGTTCCCGTGGACGAGGCTGCCCAGGAGTACAAGGTGAGGTGGTTATGGTTGTGTTGAGGTACAAGGGTCCAGAAGCTCCTGGGGTTGCAGCTCTTGATGGGTGGAGATCCCTGTAGAGCCTTTGACCTGTGGGATAAACCCCCTGTGGACTCACCCATCCTTGTCTCTTGCTACCAACCCTTGAGGTGGCATTGCCTGCCCTGAGGAAGACGTGGACGTAGGAGCAGCACGCTCTTGGGGACCAAGGGGTCCTCTCCCCCAGGGTTCAGCCACGAGCAGGGGCTTAAGGGAGGGTAGGAAACAGAGGTGTAGGATTTCTCCCCACCACAATCCCTCTGCAAAACTCCATCAATGGCTCTGTCCTCTGGGGTGGGGGTCCCTTGTCAAGGTCTGCTCTGCTGAAGATCAGGAGGAAAGGAGAGGGAGAGATCCTCAGCCCTTCTCCCACCCCACACCTCCCTGGAAAAGTTTTGATCTTTGTCAAAATACCAAAAGAAATGTTAAAGAAAGAGATTAATTTCCTTGGAACAGTCATGGGGGTCCCAAAACTCTGCCAACACTTGCCCCAAGAGCCACCAGGAGTTCCCTGGTGCTTCTGCTGAGGCTGCCAGACCACGATGCCATTCCACAGGGGACTTCTTTCTTTCCCTCCTCTCAGAAACAAATTCAGACCCAACTGCACCTTCTGAAATCAGAGCAAGAGGCGCTTCAATCTTCCGTGAAGGACAGAGAAGACAGACTCAAGGACCACACTGTAGGTGCCCATCAGGTTTCCTGGGCAGATGGTGTGGGAAGAAAGGAGGAACATCTCCTCCTCCTCCTCCTCCCCCCTAGGGGTGGGTGATGCTCAAGGGCTGTGGGGAAGGGAGAGGGGGTTTGTATCTTCCCCGAATGCTTCTTCTTGGTGGCTCCCACTGAAGCATGGCCCACCCTTGACCCTTGCTGCTCTTCTCCTGCTCTCTGCTGCCCTTTCCCCCTTTGGGCTTGCCCTTGGCAGGAGAGGACAGAAGCTGCAAAGCAGGAGATTGTGAGGACATATAGGAAGCTGCACGAGTTCCTGGACAAGGAGGAGTCCTCTCTTCTGGCCCAGCTGGAGCAGCTGGACACAGAGATAAGAAAAGCCCATGAAGAAATCCTCCAGAGGCTTTTGGAGGAGACAACGAGGCTGGGCACGCTGACTGGGGAGATGGAGAGGACGTACCAGCAGCCAGACTGGCAGCTCCTGAAGGTGAGAGCCCAGGCTTTCCAAACTGGCTGGGAAGGCCCATCTTGAGCTTGGTCTCCAGCCCTCCCTTGTCTCCCCCAACCTGCTCCAAGAGGGACTTCCTTCGAGTGGGACCCCGGTACTCCAAGGGGAGGTGTTCCATCTCACTGAGTCTCTTTTTCTCTCTCCTCCAGGACATCGGAACCACCTTGAGCAGGTCTGTGGTCCTTCTCCTGTCACCATGTCACCACCACAGAGCAGCTCTGTGGCAGGACACGGGGAGAAAGCACTTGGGGACGGGTTGGCTCTTCTGCAGTACAGCCCTTGGAGTTGACCGAGGCCACGGGGGGTTGGAAGGAGGGCTCTGCCTCTCTCTCCTGAATTAATGATGAATTTGGACACGGGCTGGCAGGAGGCAGGAGCAGGGAGTGCTGAGAAAAGATGGAGCAGCAAACTCCAACCAGGTGTAAATCCATCCCCTCTTCCCTTCCAGGGGCCAGAGGGAAACGCTCTCCCACTCACTCCAGATTTCCCCGCAGCTGGAAAAGAAATTCTCTGATTTCACTGAGAATTCGGCAAACATCGAGGAACGTGTGGAGGAATTCCGAGGTACCAAGGGCAGGTCCAGAAAGGGCAATGCCATCGTGCTTCTTGGTGGGGAGGGATGGAGTGAAGCCAGGGGAAAGAAAGGCATCCTGGGTGCTGAATGAGGGGTTATTTCTTTCAAGATCCCACAAGGAGACAGAGAACGAGCAGCGAGCGTTGGCCTGATGTTCCCTGCCTGTCCTCCTCCTCTTCTCCTCTGCCTCCTCAAGTTTCTCAATATTCCCCCAATCCTGTTTCTGACTCTCGGGACTTTTGCAGAAACCCTCAATCAGACCAACTGATCTTTGTGTTTCTCCCATTTCTCTCTTCCCTCTAGATTTCCTGGCGGTCGAGCTTCCCTTGAAAAGTAAGTGAACCAAACACGTGGCCAACCATTGATTGACATCAATTGCTCTGCTGCCTCCTTTCACCCTTCTCCCATCCTGGTCCCACCACCAGGCAATGCCTGGAGGGGTCCCAACCAGGTCAGAGTGATGGGAGAGGAGAGAAAAAACCCTCTTCCCTCCAAATCTGCTGCAATGAGCCTGACTCTCTCTCCACCTCCAGCACAGATGATGCTGGACCCAGAGACAGCCAATGCCAGGCTTTATCTCTCGAAAGACTGCAAGCTTGTGGGGTACGAATTCGATAAGCAGGACCTGCCCTCCAACCCGAGGAGGTTCTCAGTCTATCCCTGCGTGCTGGGCTCGAGAGGCTTCACATCGGGGTGGCACCACTGGGACGTGGAGGTCCACAGAGAAGACTTTTGGGCCATTGGTGTTGCCAAGGAGCTTGTTCCAAGGGACCGTTGGTTGTGCCTGAATCCCAATGAGGGGATATGGGCTCTGTGTCGTAACCTAAATGGGTACAGGGCTCTGACCTCTCCTGCTCGCACCCCCTTGACTCTATGCAGTGTCCCCAAGCGGATACGAATCTACTTGGACTATGAGAAAGGGAGGGTGGTGTTTTTTGATGCCGAGAGCAAAGAACGGATCTTTGCTTTTCCACCGGCATCTTTTCAGGGGCAGAGAGTCTTCCCGTGGTTCATGGTGATGTTTGATGCTCATCTCAAACTTCTTCCCTAAGGCACAGGACAAGAAAAAACCCAACCCCCAAAGCCCTCGAGTTACCCTTGGGAAAGAAACCAGGGGCTGGGTTTTGTCCCAATCCCACCAAAGGGACAGGAAAGGGGAGTGGTGTTTGGGTTCCTTCTGTGCAAAATGGGAGCATTTCTGTGCCTTCAACTCTATTTTGATCTTTCAATCCCTGTTTAATCACTACATGGTTGTTATAGGATGGCTGCAAACTTTCCCTGATGGGGCGTTAAAATAAAAGTACAAGTCCAAATAATTTCTGCCTTGTGTGTGGCATTTTTATCTTGGGTTTTTTATTTTCTGCAGGGTTTTTCTTAGAAGGTGTTAAATTGCGCTGGAGGAAAGAAAAGTCATCCTGGTTCCTCTTGGAAACCCACTGCACAGGGAGATGAGATGCAGGGGTTCAGATGAAGGTCCATCAAGCCCTCCTCTTGTCCCCAGATGTCCCTGCCTGGGAAAGCAGATCAGAGCACGGTGAGGATGCTTATGGCCCCAGGAGCCCTCTTTTCCCAGACTCAAAGGGGAATTAGCCAATTAACAGGCTGTAATGAGGAGCATTGGGGGGATCTCATAATTGGCTCTGCCATCTCTCCAACCCCGTTGCAGACTTGTGATCCTTCTCCGTTCCAGACTGGATCATCCCAGTCTTTCCCCATTGTCGTGGTTTGGCCTCAGACGGCAACAAAGGACCACGTGCAGCTGCTCGCCCTCACGGCCACGCGGACAGGAGGGGAAAATGGGAATAAAAAGGCAAAACTCGTGGGTTGAGACAAAGGCAATTTTAACTGAACAGGACAAAACCCAGGAAATAGCAACAACAATAACAGAGGGATATACAACCGCGATCACGATACCGCCACTCGATACCGCCGCTCGCTGACCGCTCCCTGG